TAAGGGGCCCGGGTCGAACTGCCCAGCCTAAATCCGCCACGCGGGGGAGCCTGATTCTGGAAAACCGGGATAGGTCGCCAGAGGTGGGCGCCTCTCCCCAAACCACAAACATCACATTTTTCACAAATCTCCCAGCCTCCAGAAAATCGCCCGTAATCACAAATTTGCTGCTAACACAGGATATTTGTGGAAAAAAACATGTGAAAAATTGTCCATTTGCGGATGCCCTGCCCGGAATTTCTGCAAAACATTGTGAATCTGGGGATGCCTCCACCTCAATTTCTGACGTATAGCCAGAATCTTAGGATCCCTCCTCTGGGACGCCCCGACCTCCTCCAGCAGCCACCTTCTCAGACTCATGCCCGAAAGTTTCCCAAAATTAGGGGTACCTTTTTGGGGGTCCCAATAAGAAGGATTATAGTCTTTTGGGGTCTATATTGGGGTCCCCCCATTTTGGGAATCTACCATATCCCGCCAAACAAAATAAAAGCTTAGAGCCAACCAGACCTGAGAGCTTTGGATTCGATCATGGCATGCCCTCACACGAACTACCAGACAATCATGAACTCTACGCTCTGCGAGGCGGCACCACACACACACTGACTGAAGCTGGCGGTCTGACTGTTGCTGTACCAAACTTAATCAGAAATCTTTTCACACAATCCTCAACACCCAGACCCTTCCCGGATCAGAAAATATTTCTATTTCAGAAACCTTCTGCCGCCCAGAAAAGTTATTTGACAATTATTTCACAACTTAAGCATTTTGATTTTGCTTAGCTGCGCTTATTCTCACTCGGACGTCTCCAATATATGGACGCCGGCCCCCAGTCGCGAATCAGCTCATGTGTAACGATCATGCTGTGGTGCGACAAGGGGATTTTACCGGGGGAGGGGGGGGAGTATCAGATCACCTGGCGGTAAACCCCAAAACCCTAAGCCCTAAATCCCCAGGGCGCTCTGATCTGCTACAAAGATCTTGCTCATGCTGAGCTGTTACCCGACACCGCTACACGCCCCCTCCGAGCTGATATCCGCAGGTTCCATTTCACGATAGGGGTTCCTCCCAGGCTTACATTGCGAGGAGTGAGGGCTATACAGCTTTCCCGCTATCATCTCTGTTCACGGCTTCGGGCTTGCAAGCCCACATCTCTTTTCAGGAGTCACGGTTTGCCAGCCAAGTTTTTCTCTTAACGCTCAGGGTGTGCCGGTTATTTCTTGTTTTGTTGTGTTCTTCTGTCTTTCGTTCTTTCTGTCTGTCTTTCCGCCTTTGTGCTGTTCCGTTCTTCTTGCTTACTTTCTTCCTTTCTTTCCCTGCTATGTTCTTTCTTGCTTGCTTGCTTTCTCCTCATTTCGTTCTGCTGCCCAACATATCCAGATCTCTGCAACTGTTGACACTTGTCAAACTCCGCGACGATCTAAGGAGTCCAAAAGCGACGACGGCCATGAGGATGACGATCGCGACCCCCACTGACTGTGGATGTGCAGGCATGCAGTTCGTGTGCAGAGCATGCTGCTCAAAGGCATGGAGTCAGGGCATTCAGGTCCGGTTTGGTCCAGTTGCTAGGGCTCCAGACTCATTTCTCTCAGAATAGCTTAGAGTTGAACAGATTCTTTTCACAGATCAGGTAGCATCTGACAGTTCGTTTCGTGAGAGTTTGCGCTGCCGGGAAAAGGCAGTCGGGTCGGGCATTGAGTTCTTGCCTGCCCAACGGGCAGGTTATGAGCCCAAGTGGTTCGTAACACTGCGCCTCCGCCATGGAATCCGCTGGGTCTGCTGATGAGCCGCAGTACCAGCAGGGGCATGTAAGACCTGATACCCTCTTGAATCCGAACAACCTGGAGGGCTCAGGCGGACCGGAATCCCTTGGAGAGAGGAGTTTTTTCCAGGAGGCTTCCAGAATCATCGATGATGGTGGTAACACTGGTGCTGGACAGAGGACGCCTGAGCAGCAAGCGCGTGATGTGCTGACCGGTGTTGAAGGGCTTGAGCCTGAGTATGAGTTCGAGTCTGTCGAGGGAGTAGCGTCTCCAGAAGGGGATGGTCGAGAGGAGCAGTCTCCCGGGGTCCAGACCGCTGGTCGGGATCAACGACAATTTCAGAATCCTGAAATGGGTCTACAGCCTGGTGTGAATTCTGGAGAGGTCTTGATCAATGGTGTGGTGCCTGATGTGGGTCATGCTTCAGGGGGACAAGGCCGTGAACCTGAAAGGGGCGGAGTTCTTCCGTTGCAAGCTTTGTTTCAAGGCCAGCTGGGACAGCAGTCTGATTCGCAAGGGAGAGTGGAACTCCTGGAACGGCTGGTACACCAACTTATGGATCAGAATGAGCTGCTGAGGCGTGAGATCGGAGATGTGGCTTCGAGGAGCTCAGCTGAGTCGGGCCAGAGCGGTAGAGAGGTTCCTAAGGGAGCTACTGCGATCGGGAAAGCGGGTAGCCGAGTAGAAGATGTAGTTCCTGGTCGCGAGAGTAGTGCAGGCGTAGCAAGGAACACTGAGCCAACCTGGAATCCCAGTTTGGCCCAGGTAGCTGAGGGAAGAGGGTTTGGAGCTCTTGGTCGTAAGGCTAAGCTTGGGAAAGGTATAGGTAATCAGGGTGGTATAGACCTGAATGCCGGCCGCTCCAGAGTCTTCAGTCCGCCGTGGACGTCCTTCCAGCAATCCCGAGATGAAGCTATGCCAGCCGCAATGCCAAGTGCCGGGCCAGGGGATAACGTTCTTCGAGCTTCCGTTCAACAGTCCCGAGATGATGTTATGCCTACTGCAATGCCAAGCGTTGGGCCAGGGGATAAGTTTCTTCAGGCAACCCGTGCCATCCAGAATCTATCCTTGGAAGAAGGTCCAGGTGAGTTGTCTGCTGTGCACCCTTCCTGGTTTCAGGTTGATCTAGATCTTCAGGGGTCGAGGCCTATGGAGGTTGAGGATAGTGTTGGGGTCCAGCCTGCTACGCAGTCAGCTGTGCAGCGGACTCACTCGCGCCAGCAAGATAGGCAAATGTATCCTAGTCCCGAAGGAACTGATCAGGATCCAAGGGTCCAGCCTGTGATGCAGTCAGCTGTGCAGCGGACCCAATCGCGCCAGCGGCAGGATGGAAATGTAGATGGGAGTGGGTTAGCAGGTAGGAAGGTACAGGTTTGGATAAACGGAGTGTTGAGGGAAGGGGTTTATGATCATCAGGGTCAGGTGATCTTGACTCCAGAAGCACCTAAGTACTATGCTCTTGAGAGTAGTGACGTGGTTGCCCCTCCTCCTGTAGAGCCTGAAGGTACATTTGTGCCACCTGCGCTTTCACCTCCGTGCAATGTAGGGAGGCCGCGAAAACCTCAGGGCCCGTGGAGCCCACAAGCAGCGTCTCCATTTCGTACTGCCGATGGTAGTCCTCCACCACCGCCACCACATCCCCCTGTTCCTGTAGATAGGCCGAGTAGGACCGTAAGGAATGCGGAGAGGTCTCCGACTGGTGTAAGGCAGGGATACTCAAGGAAGTTTAGTCGGTCACCTCAGCCGAGTCCTTCCAGGATTGTGCCTCAGTCAGGGTCTCATCCTAATGCGTCACCGGCCACGCCGGGGGGAACGCGACTGCCGCCAGGGCCGCCTCCCAGGACACCTGTAGTGGGCGAAACTCAGGCTGCTCAGGGCAGTGGTCAGGGTGATGGGCTTTTGGAATTTAGTTCAGGGCTGAAAGACTTTGTACCGGGGGATCGTACGTATTGGGAGTTGCCGGTTTTAGCTGCGCCAAGTTCTGAGGTGAACCCAGCCATGCGATGCAACGACTGGATATATAAGATCGGTCCTCTCATGAGCGATCTAGCGCCGAGGGCAAACATTTGGTGGGCGAGGGTTTTGAAGGAATCCCAGGATGCCTATCTGCAGTGGTCGAGTGCCAAACCGTTGGATCGTGCCAAGATTGTCGGGAAGCCAAGTAGCACTCTTCAGGGAGACATGTTCACCAGGATTGAGTCGAGGGGGGTTGCTATGCTCTCTAAAGCCCTCCCTAATGTTGTATATGAACAAGCCCTTTCCAGTCGCAACGTCTCGTGTGTAGGACTGTTGTTTCTCACGCTTAGAATCTATCAACCAGGTGGTCTAAACGAGAGGGCTGAGTTGCTGCGTGGCCTGACATCACTGCAGGTGTTCGATACTGCTGTGTCGGTAGTTGGAGGGCTTCAGAAATGGTTCAGGCATCTGGAGCGGGCTAATACCATGTCGATCTCAGTTCCGGATAGCTCTTTGCTACTGCAAGGCGTGGACAAGAGCGTGCATACCTTGTTGCAGTCTCATCCTGCACTGTCCTTCCGGATGCACAGTGTTCGCATGCAGCTGCAGTTGGATACAGTTCCGACTCATGAGCGCGTGGAAGAGTACGTAACTACTCTCCTAGCTGAGTTTGAACTGTTAGCAGTTGCAATGCCGGATACATCAGCGAAGCGTCCTCGTGTAGCAGCAGTGGATAAAGGAAAGGGTGGAAACAAGTCGTCTGAGAAGGGTTCCGAGGCCCAGGGAACTCCCGAGAAGCCGAAGCCCGAAGCCAAATCCAAGCTTCCATGTCGAGGGTGGGTCACAGATGCCGGGTGTAAGTATGGGAAAACATGTAACTTCTCTCATTCGGCAGATCGCCCAGGGAAATGCTGGACATGCGGAGGGTCACATGCGAAGGCTGAGTGTACAGCTCCGGGAGGGGGTAATGCCCAGAAACCTGCTGCAACAGAGACTCCAAAAGGGAAGGGAAAACCGTCAGGGGGTGAGCCGAAGGGTGGGAAGCCCAACCAGGGTGCACCTAAGGGACCAAAGGGTTCGGGAGGAGCACAGAAGGGAGCTAGTGGGCTTTCTGAAGATGCAATAAAAGAGGCAGCCCAGCTGCTTCAAAGCTTGAGGCTTGCGGCGATCAGGCCATACATTCGTTCTGCGACGGAAGTGCTCTGTAAAGCTCAACAAGGCGAGCCGCGTGGTCTGATAGATGGCGGTGCCACTGCATGTTTAAGGACAGCTCTGAGTCATGAAATGGAGATGCCAAGTGTTGTAGTCCGACTAGCATGTGGCGAATGCTCGCTGTTGGTAAATCCCCAAGGAACGCTTTTGAGCAAGACGTTTGTGAGTCCGATCCTTTCTGTTCGGGCGTTGCTAGCTCTTGGCTACAAGGTGGAGTGGGATTCTTCTCGTTGTAGAATTTGGCATCCTTCGCGGGGTGTATTGGATACGGATGTTAGCACTGGTTGCCCGGAAATCTCTGAGCAGAAGGCCTTGGAACTTATCGGGGAATATGAGGCTTTGGTGCAGCGCGGGGAGAGTCGTTGTGCACGACTGCACTGTTTGATGAAGGATTTAGCTGGATTGAGTAATGCTGAGCTTGCTGATGTGATTGTTCGTCGGGATGTGCACTCAGACGCAGCTGTAAAGAAGCTGGTTGAGAAAGTGTTTGGGGATACGCCTAGTGATTTGAGGGAGCAGGCGGTTGCATCTGTGCAAGATCCAGCTGGTGAGTCTTTCACATGGAACAGAAGGATGCGGAGGAAGTTTGAGCGTGCGAAAGGCCTAGTTGTTCATCTGTTCTGTGGTGAGGGCAGAAAGGCTTTTGATCGAGTGTCCGAGAAACACGGGCTAATCCATGTGCCGGTTGACACAGCCGAAGACCTGTTGGCGGAAGGTACCTATCAGTATTTGCTCAGGCAGGCTGCTAAAGGAAGAGTTCGTGCAGTTATCGGAGCCCCTCCTGGCAGGACATTTGCGCCGTGTCGGTACTCAGTAGGTGAGCAAGGCTCAGGTGTGAAGCCTCTTCGAGTAAGGGGGGAGAGTCTTGGTGAATACGGTGTTGGGGAGTTGACATGTCAAGAGCTGGCACAACGCAGGATAGATGACGTGTTGATGATGAGGATGATGGTGCTGATGCTGGTGGCGCAGGGTTCGAATGAGGCTCTGAAGGAGCCGACCCCACACTGCCTGGTGGAACATCCTGAGGACCCTGAGGATGGGGGTATGGTAGGTGTTGCCCTGAGGGAGCAGACGAAACCTGAGCTCGGGTACGCGTCGTTCTGGGCCACACCAGAGTGGCAAGCGATATCAAAGGAGTTGCAGCTGTCACCTACCTCCTTTCATCAAGGACCATTGGGGCACCAGAAGGTAAGGCCAACCACCATTTATACAAACATGTATCCGGATCCTTTGCTTGTGGACTGTTGGGATGATGGGTTCCAGTCTCGTCCGAAGGTCGGGGGTAAGGGGTTGTCTTGGTCTCAGTGGAGCCCAGGGCTTTGGATTGCTGTGACTAACATGTTGGCGAGAGCACTTGCGGAGCAGGTGCCGAAGGGACTCAGAGCGATGGATTCTGGTTTCATAGAGCACCTTCGCAATAATCACACGCCATTTCGCAGAGATTGCAAGCAGTGCATTCGCGGCGGGGCCAGACACAAGCAGCATAGGAAAGTCCTTGCCCCACAGGGTTGGTGCATGAGTATAGATACGGCCGGACCATTTCCAAAGGGGCTAGATGAGAATACCACCGCTGCCAAATACCTGATTGTTGCAGTTCTGTCAGTTCCTATTCTGTCGGTAAAAGGGGAAAGTGTGGATGAACCGGCGGATAGGGACCCACAGCTTGATCTTCAAGAGTTTGCGGAATCTCTAGATGATCGTGAATGGTTTGTAGAAAGGGGTATGGAACTGGAGGAACCACTCCCTGAGCCTACACATCGTGAAATTACTGAGTCGAAGGACTCCTGGGCTACATGGGAGGCAGTAGTTCGGAAAAGTAGAAAGGATTGGTTAGAAGAAGCCAAAACTCAGTTTCTTCCGAAAGTGGAGATGATAGACTTCGTATACACTGAAGCTGTGGATTCGAAGAAGCAACAAGTCGTTGCAGGTGCCATTAGCCGTATGTACGCACGAGCAATATCAGACGGGTTGAGCGTCCAACGTATCCATACGGACAGGGGAAAGGAGTACCGGAACTCTGCATTGGATGCCTTCTGTCAAAAGCTCGGAGTTCATCATACATATGCAATGGCAGAGGAACACCAGACCAATGGTCGCGCGGAGGGGGCTATATTGAAGATCAAAAATCGAACGAGGGCGATCCTCGAAGGATCAGGGCAAGATGATCTTTCAGAGTGGCCATTGGCGGCGAAATTGGCGTCGTATCACTTGAGATCTGAAGCTCGCAAGAAGTTGCGGATGCCGTGTGAGCCGACAGTACCCTTCAATACGGAAGTTGAAGTCTTGCAGAGGTCGTGGCGGCGTGGAGTTTGGAGTTCGAGAACTACCACGGCTGTCACAAAATGTCCCTCTTCGGAAACTTCGAGGGGGTGGGTGGTGAAAACGGCCGAGGGCCAGCTGTTCACCACCAGCAGGCTTTTCCCTTCCATGGATGGCAACAGGATACGATTTAAATACGAAGGTACCCCATTGGATTTGGATGCACCGTCAGTTAGGATCCGAGAGAAGGGCAGGGTTCGTAAGCTTGGCTCTTCAGTGGATGGTGTTGTGTCTAAGAATCCAGCAGAGCGTTTGGCAAGGTCCTTGTATGAAGCAGGCAGTTGGGAGCCAAAGGACGTGGCGTCCCTTGCAGTTGCCATGTCGAAGCACGTGACTTCCAATAGTAGGGCTGTGGTCAAGGATGAGTTTGAGGCAAGGAAACTTGAGTGCAATTTCATGAGTGGTGCTTTTACGTTCAGCGGGATGACTGGGGTTCGTAGTGACACGTCTGATTTCCCATGGATTACTCGGTATCTGTGTGGCTATCTGGCCAAGCATTCTGATGAGCCGTTTGCGGGAGTGGGTTTGGCATTGAACACTGATCATGTGCTACACCGAGATTTGCACAATCAAAGGGAGGTTGCTAACATTGTCCTGCCCATTGTTACTTCCGGGGGAGGCTTGTGGATTCAGAGTCGCACAGGACTTGATCCAGTGGCTCCGACACCAGGAGTTACGGAGTCTAGGATGCTGGAAAATGGGACTGAGGTTCAGGGTCGCACTTATGTGTATGAGTCACACAAGCCGGTCGTGTTCCATCCTCATGTATGGCACGAGTCCAAGAAGGGTGATGGGCCTCAGCTCCTACTGTTTGGGTTCACAGCTCGCCATCTGCACAAACTAAAAGAGCCTGAGAGGAAGCGACTATGGGAAACGGGATTCACGTATTTGCCGGGAACCAAATCAGAGTACTGGGGCTTCAAGACGTCTTCAAACACTTTGGTTCGGTATCATCCTGTCCCTCGTCGTCAGATGTTTGTCCCGTCGGATCAAGATTGGCTTCCGTTTCCGCGGTCGTGCTTCGGAGACTTGAGATTGTGCCTGCAACAGTTTCAGGGCCAAGAACCGGTTCGCTCATTCCAGTGCTGGCGCAAGGGCCGAGGCCGGGCGCCGGCCAGTAAATGGACGGGGTGGTCTGCTTTCCCTTTGCATCTCAGTGACCCAGACAACGGTCGGTCTGGGGGGGGGGATCCTCCTGAGGCAAATTTCGATGCAAATTTCGATGCAAATTCTGAGGTTAAGATTGGGGCAAAAGCAAGCTTCAAGCGAGGTGAACCTGGGGATGGGAACCAAGGCTGTGGCACTAAAGACTCAGTGCTAGGGTCTGGCAAGGTCTCAGGGGTGATGTCTGAAAGGAACTTAGCCGCTTCAACGCCAGGGGTGGTAGAGGTTCCACATGAGGGTGAAAGGTTGTCGATGGTTTGGTGTCCGGCATGTGATGCAGTCGGGTGGGCAGCGGACTCAATCGCGCCACCACAAGCTACAGGCTGTATGCAGGCTGCCAATGGGGAGCAGCCGCAGGGATACAAAACGGATCAGGCAACAAGTAGCTGTATAGGTTCCCCTGAGTTAGTGCCGCAACCGGCCAGACAGCGAGGAAGGAGTCCACAAGGTGTATGTGAAACTGGGACTGTGAAATCTGGTGCAGGTACAACAGGTAGAAGCCGTGCTAGAGGGAACCATGAGTCATCAGGTCTGCGGAGGGACATTTCGCCAGCTCCGCTTTGTAGCTGGGGGGTTAGATTTGCTTCGAGATTTCGGTTGAAGAGCGTGCGGAAGGTGTTGAACGAGAGTTGTGGCTCAGGGTTGATTGGCGACACGGGCGAGGCTTCAGGAGGGAATTGCTCTCGGGGGGGAAGTTGTACGGGATCGCCTGTAATGCAGTCAGCTGTGCAGCGGACTCAATCGCGCCAGCAAGATAGGCAAACTTGCATTGGCGAAAATCTTCTTGTGAAAGGTCTTGAGATTCTTCCACCTCCGCGACCCAAGGCTACTGTTAGCGAAGAGTTTCCTGAGTGGTGTCCAGCTGGTGTGTACATAGCTTGCCTTGTTGCGGAACTTCGGGCGCTTTACATGAAGCTTCAAGGTGATGAGGCGGATACCTGCTCAGGTGAGGCTCAAAAGGGCCATGGGGAAGTGGATGCTTCGGTTTCTGGTGAAGCTGTAGGGTGCTCAGACTTTGAGTGGGATGATGACTCTCAGGATGTCAAGATGTACCAGGTGCCAGATTGCATCAAACCACTGCGTCCATGTCATTCGTCGGATGTTGGGGATAGCTGCTACACACTGGAGCGAGTGGATTGGCCTATGTGTGTCAACGTAGCTGATGAGATGCAGGAGTTGGCTGAGGTGCATAGGGCCATGTGCAGCTTGTTGGATGGGCAGTCTGAGGAAGTAGATGGCCAGTGTTGCAGTTGTGAGGCTCAGTGGCTTGACGAAGTTCAGGGTTTGGAGCAAGAGCTTCAGAGGATGAAGGGATTAGAAGATAGTCTGCTGTTGTCCTCCGAGGGTCCAATTCTTAAAAGTATTGAACTGTGTGTGGACAATGAGGTGGAGGCTGAGGCCTGCCAGTTAGACAGGAAGAGCGAGGAGTGCATGCTGGGATCCGGGAGTCTAAAGGCTGTTCAAATGGACGATGATGATCCACCACCTCTTCAGTCGAAGATTGTAGCGCAGGACCAGGTTCGACGTGAGCTTGGTAAGTGGCGTGGATCTATGGGGGAGGAAGTAGAGTCGTTAGTTCAGAAGACTGAAGCAGTTGAAGACTTGACAGACGACCAGTATCACAAGCTGGTGGCGGATCCAGGCGTGCATGTGGAACTGATTCCAGGAAAAATGGTGTATGTTTGGAAATCCACTGGACGTCGTAGGGCGAGAATGGTGGGATGTGGCAACTTCTGTGACAACGATGGCAGCACTCAGAAGGCAGATCTTTTTGCGAGTGGGGCTGGTGCGGAGTCCATTCGAATGATGATCCGCAAGTGTACTCTGGAACCATCTTGGCATCTGGTCTCGGTTGATGTGAAAACAGCTTTTCTCCAGGCGCCGCTTATGGAAATGCAGAAGGATGGTAAGGAGAAGGTCACAGTCGTTAAAGTTCCGAGCATATTAAGGGAAGCGGGTGTTACTGCTACCAAGTACTGGAAAGTCAAGAAAGCTCTTTATGGTCTGAACTCGGCGCCGCGCTCGTGGAGCCTTCATAGAGACCGGGTGATGACGGATCTTCGGATTGAGTATGGTGATGGCATCTTGAGGCTTCGAAAGCTAAAGGAGGACGCCAATCTCTGGCAGATTCTCAAGTATCCACGGGAGGGCAGAGATCCTGAGAAGGAAGCCGGTGAAGCAGGAGGACAGTGCCTCGGGATTATAGCCTTGTACGTGGACGATATCTTAGTTGCGTCGGAAAAGGACGTTGCCCAAGCTGTAGTTCGCGGACTGGAATCAAATTGGGAATTGTCAACCCCGGACTGGGTGTCGGAGGAAGGAGATTGCTTGAAGTTTGCAGGCTTCGAGCTGGAAAAAACCAGTCAAGGGATTCGTCTTCATCAGGAGAGCTACACCAAGGATATCCTAGAACAGTACCAAGACACAATCCCGGGTGTGGAACGTACACCAGCTGTCAAGACTGTTGAAAGTGAGGAACCGGTGGATCGTTCGGAACAGCTGGAGTGGACGAAACGTGCACAATCATTGATTGGACAGTTGCTCTGGCTTGCGGGGAGGACCCGTCCTGACATTGCTTATGCTGTGAATCTTGCTGCTCAGAGGATAGTGCCATCTCCGGGTGAGGCGGTTGCTCGCGCAGAACACTTGATCAGGTACCTTAGGCATGCTCCAGGAGTCGGTCTTCATTATGTGCCACCAACAGGACAGTGTGGAAGGTGGGACCAGCTTAAGTTTCAGGAGACGAGGACAAGTCTAGAAGCATACTCGGATGCCTCTTTCGCTGCGGATGAGAAAAGCCGTAGTTACGGCTGTATTCAGCTGTGTTGGGGAGGAGCGCTGATATTCTGGGCCTCGTGCAGGCAGACTCTCATAGCGTCCCATACTGCTGAAAGCGAATTGTACTCGTTGGCAGAAGCGCACTTGTTGGGGAAGGCCATGAGACCAACGGTCGCAGCTCTGATGAACGCTCAAGAGGACCAGGTGGATTGCAGGTTATACTGTGATAATTCTGCGGCAATTCAATTGTGTGTTCTGGAATCAGGGTCGTGGCGTACACGCCATTTGCGATTGCGCGGTGCGGTGGTTCGACAGGACTTAGAAAACGACTCCTGGAAGTTAGCGCATCTAGATGGGGCTTACATGCCAGCGGACCTGGGGACAAAAGCAGTAGGACCCGCGAGACTGGAAGACTTGATTAGGGTGTGTGGGTTATGGGCTCCTCATCTTGAACTGTCGAATGATCCGCCTAGGCCTCAAGTAGCTGCAATGCAAGGAACTCCTAGTGATGTGTCGAAGGCGCTGTTAGCACTGTTGGTGCTGCTGCAAATCTCGGCTGTCAAAGCGGAATCAGTCTACGCAGGGATGGATGATCTAGTGACCTTGTGGCGAAGCTTCATTGTTGGGTTCGGGATAGGCTGTGGGTGGATGCTTGCGTCCAGATTGGGTAGGTTGCTCGATCGATGTTGTCGCAGGCGCCCAGTAGTCATGGAGTTCCGAGGACCCCCAGTAGGGACCAGTGGTGTTGAAGGATGGACTCAAACTGAAGGGTCAGAGGTTCAGAGCCGCTTGGAAGCGGGGGAGCGTGGGACCCAGGCTGCACAGCACGTCGGATTGGGGGTTCCTTCAGGGTTGATTGAGAGGGATGTGGGAGAATCTACATGTTACGAGGACTTCTGCGAGAGGGCTTTTCCGGAACTTCAGGGTTTGTCTAGAGGGTCGGGTGACATTGTGGGTTCAAGTGAAGCGTTGGAGGTGCTGCCAGGACCAGTAGACAGAAGTGGATCACCGGAGGTGAGGTTTCCTAGCGGACAAGGACAGTATGACGCAGCGAGTGCATATGCTACGGCTTCAGATATGGAACCACTGTATGTGCAGAGGCCTGTAGGGTTTCCGCCTGGTGACATGATAGAGTTGGCTCGTGCTCCCACGGTTCCGTTGCCTCCTAACTATCCTTACCCTGAGAACTTTGGCAATCGTTTTGTGTATGCCGACGATGAAGTTGAGCTAGGTGAAGATTCGGATAGCGGTGACGAAGCCAGTTCAATAGGTCAGTGGACTACAGATTCAGGCATGCCTAGGGGTCGCGGCTCAAGTTCTGCAGGATCGCAGGGCACCGGCAGGAGCCTGACGGCAGTGAGCCTTGCTGCTTCGGTCCAGTCGGCTCAAGCTTGGCAGGACGCTGCTCAGGAATCTGATGGGACTATGGAACTTTGGCTGTTGCTGGGTATGATTTCTGTAGGCTGCATTTTGGTTGGGGCTGTAGGCGCTATTGGGTGCATGTGGTTGTGCAAGTGCAATACCCACAGGCATCAGATTTCAGCTGAATGTACTCCCACTACTCCTACAACTCAAGGGCAGAAGGTTGCTGAGAAGAGCAGTTATTCTGACCGGCATGTTTCGGAAGGGCCTCTTCAATTTTCGCCAGTTGTGAATGTGACTGTTCGGACACAGTTTCAGGGAGAAGATTGTGCTCAGCATGAGAGGGTTGAGGTTTTGAAAAGAAGCTCCGAAGATGATATCAAGGAGGGCTTGCGTCAGAGGGGACAGCAGAAAACATGTGAATCCACTGTAGGCCCCCCTAAAGGTTTAGAGCCTCATAGGACCCGTGTTGAAGTCTCCGCGATGGAGTCTGCGCAATCCCGTGTAGGCCCCCCTAAAGGTTTAGGGCCCCATAGGACCTGTGCGGAAGCCTCTGCGGAGAGGCCTGTGCAATTCCCTGTAGGCCCCCCTAAGGGTTTAGATCTCAGTAGGACCCGTGCTGAAGCATCGGAAGTTGAGCCGGTGCAAGCCCCGGTAGGCCCCCCTACGGGTTTAGGATCCCATAGGACCTTTGTGAAGGCACCCGAAGTGGAGCCAGGAGTTTCCCAAGTAGGACCTTGTGGTTTAGGACTCCCGAGTATCCCTACAGGGTCTAGTGATAAAGTTGAAAGGCCCAGCGGGTCAAGTGGCGACGCTCAGTTCGATGTTCAGGTCAGTGGGTCTGGTAGAGATCTAGATCAAGAGCGTCCAATTGTGCGAGCAGATGGGTTTGTTGAGTATCCCACACGCGCGGGGTCTCGAATTATGATCGATAGGATTATCCGACCTCGCGGGTTCAAGAAGATGGACATTCATAGTTGCAGTGCAGATGAGCCGGGGGTCAATGTGATCTTCACGAAGAACGGAGATTGCTTTCACAGGTCTCTGGAGTGTCCAGCAGCTAGCAAGTCTTCGGACATTCGCAGGCGTCAGACTTGTTTTGTATGCAACAGAGGGGAGGGATTTCCAAAGCAAGATACGATCTACTTTAATCGCTGGGGAAAAAGGGTTCATGTGAGCCGTGACTGCCCTGCTTTGGACCCTCACCAAGAGGTTTGTGCTCGCCGCAGGTGTAAGTTCTGTGGAAGCCAGTGAGGCTTTGAAAACATGGACAGCAGTGCGCGAAGCACCCCATGCTTCAGGGCATTTTGTCCTGCACAACAGCATGGAACGAAGCAAATGTTCGTTGGGGGAGTGACTGTGGATGTGCAGGCATGCAGTTCGTGTGCAGAGCATGCTGCTCAAAGGCATGGAGTCAGGGCATTCAGGTCCGGTTTGGTCCAGTTGCTAGGGCTCCAGACTCATTTCTCTCAGAATAGCTTAGAGTTGAACAGATTCTTTTCACAGATCAGGTAGCATCTGACAGTTCGTTTCGTGAGAGTTTGCGCTGCCGGGAAAAGGCAGTCGGGTCGGGCATTGAGTTCTTGCCTGCCCAACGGGCACCCACGATTCCTGTGATCGTCCACATTTGGCTAGTGGAATATGTCTTTCGAATATGATTGACATTTTGATTTGTTGATAGGCATCCCCGACTCATCTGGCACTCATCCTGCACCCGACCCTTCAACAATTTCACGAGTGCAATTCAACTGCTGTTGCACGGAAACATCCACTCGATGTCGCTCCATTATGCTGCACCCACGGGCCTACAAACACTCACTAAAAGAAACCCCTGCGGAGTCGCTGACACGCGGTCATTGCAAAACCCGGAAATCTTTCGGTATTCAAAGGCACAGTCACGGGTGACGAGGTACGAAGTGCGGCTGAATGAGTTCATGAGCATCAACGGTATTCAGAAAAGGAATTCAGCGGTTGCAAAGTACGGAGATGATGTAGAAGCGTGTGTAAATGCAGAGCCTGGAGAACGACAGCAGGAAATGCGACGTCTTTGGGAGAATGAGCTTGGGCCGGAAGCGGAAAAAGCTGGAATGATGAAAGAAATGGGATCAATAAGAGCTTCGATTTGTACGATGAGGTTCCGACTGCTCAATGCTCCCAAGAACAGATTGACAGCGCTTTGGATGGCCGGTGGGTGAAAGTGTGGAGGTGTTTGCCAAACACTGCAAAAATGGATGATGATGCATTGTTCGCATCGGCCCCGTCGTTGGTGACAATGAGAACCCTTCTAGCAGTGTCTTTGGTAAGAAACTGGGGTGTCACGCTGTGTGATGTGTGTACTGCTTTCCTGAATGCATTGTTTGCGGAGGAAAAATCTACGTTTGAGCGCCGGTAGAATTTTGCCGAATGGAGGCATCTTAAGGACTGCGTCAATCACCGAAGCTTTGGCAAGAACACTTTGCTGAAGCAACGCGTGAAATGAAATGCAAACGGTGCAAACGTGATCCGAACTTGTACGTGCATGATAGTGGTGAATTCTACGTCCTTGCATATGTTGATGGCTTGGTGAGTATGGAAGCAAGGAGATGCGTGAAGCATTCATCAAGGAATTGTCCAATCGAGTGCTTCTGCAACTGACTGGAGAACTGGCGGAGGGAAGTGAGCACAGTTTCCTTTGTCGAAGACTGAAGTACAATGGCAAATCCATTGATGTGTTAATGTTGCCCTTGTACATTGATACTCTGCTCGATTGTATGGAATGCAGTAGGCAAAATGTGTCAATACCACTGGATCCGCGACTATGGCAGGACAGTGAGTGAACAGCCACTGCGCAAAGCTCATAAGCTTTGCCGGACTGCGATTGGAAAGCCACTGCGGCTTGCACGGATTCGTGGTGACATTTGGTACGCGATGAAAGAATTGAGTCGTGATGTCACTGCGCTGACAGAGCAAAGCTTGGCCAAATTGAAGCATCTATTGCGATACGAATGGTACGCGACAGGCTCTGTTGAGACTGAGGCCTTACAGCCAGATTGCTAATGGTCAATGTGCATTGGACATCCGTGACTCGGATTGGGCCGGATGCAACAGGACAAGAAAGAGCGTGAGTGGCTCGACTGGGAGTGTCCTTGATTGTTGCATAATGGCCACTTCCAGGACCCCAGGTACATTGGCATTCAGTTCAGGTGAAGCTGAATTGTATGCGATTGGTCAAGTTTTTTCGGACGGATTGTTTGCGTGTTCACTTGGAGTTCGAATGGCCAAGAAAGTGAATCTTGTAGTGCGCACGGACAGCACTGCAGGGAGGTCAATGGCGAGTCGATCTGGCACTGGTGAGAAAACTAAGCATGCTGGATCGAGGTTTTTGTGCATGCAGGGTTTGATTGCTACTGTAACGATTTGTTGAAAACTTTGAAAATGAATACTGAATTGAAATATGTTGATATTCTTACCAAATATGTTTCGATTGAGAAATTGAATACACTCAGGTCTGGTGTTGGGGACATCGGACGGTTATCATCAACTGGTTTTCGAATGGGATTGGTTCGGTGGTGTCCGCAACAGATGCTGTTGATGTCAAACGCCTGCCTGGAATGCGAAGGCTTAGGAAATGAGATTGCCAGAGTGAGACCGATTGATTGCATCTCGTTTTGCAAATGTTTCGCGACTGCGAATGTAGTTACGTCTCAAAGAGCACAGATTGGAGGATTGTTGTTTTTCAATGTGTTAGTTTTCGAGGATTGAAGACCAAAGGTCCAAACAGGCCCGAATGCAAACAGGTGATTGCAAGGAATGCACGCGCAAACCACATTGCAACATACATTGATTGTAGGATTCCCATGTGGAGGGCTGCATGCACACTGTCCTCCTCAAGAGTTCTTAAGGGCTGCTAAGATTTGACCTTGCAGACTGAAGTGTGAATGAATTTTTTTTGGCGGACTGCAAGTAAAATTGCCTTAGGAGCGGGACTGCTTTAGGAGTGCATTGCATTAGGACCGATTTCTCCAGAATGTTTTGCATGTTCTGTTTAGGACTGATTTGAATGATCAGTCATTTTTTCTCCAATGTTTTCTGCTGTCTTGACTGGTCAATCCTGAGTGCCTAAACTACAGTCAAGGGCCTTAGTCACATCAGTTTTGGCTTCCACTCAATATCCCCTGCGAACGGATCGATGCGACATGGCCACATCATGGACACATCACCTATCGGTTTACTCTGCGGAGAACGATAAAAGATACAATTCTTCGTGAAAGCAAAATGCCCTAAAACCCTGAGAGCTAGATAGGATCTGTAAGTGGACCCATCGTTTTAATTGGATTTTGCGGTTCATCCTTGATAACGGCTGGGAATTTCCATCAGAGGGCTCGTGTTCGCATATAGGTTTTCTATGGGGATTCAGAGTTTCAGCTACGATTTTCTAGGTCATCATTGGTAGCAGCTGGGACTTTTTTAATCCAGGGGCTCGTGTTGGTAGGAATGAAATTTGCCCGTGGGTGAACACTGTGAGGGAATGGTACCGCTGGCAGACTGGTGCCCACACGATGAGCGGCCATGGTCCCATGATTCTAGTTGCCCTCGCAATGGCAAGAGCTGCAGAGATTGTGAGTGAACGCTCCGCTTGGGATTAGCACTATGATCCTGAGTATGCTGAGGGTATGGCATGAAATGGCGACTGCGATTGCCTCCTCAACAATGACTACCTTCTTCACCCAATGACAATGAGCGGCAACATGTTGAGATTGCATTCAGGAAGCTGTGAATCCAATGCTTTAATCTGGATTGCGTATCTGGCGGGGTGGCTGATTGGTGCCACTATAGGAATTTGGAAAGTTATTGAAGCGACTCCTCAGTGCATGTGATGTGCAGACTGTGTGGAATGATGAAAGGTCTGCAATGGCTTTTCTGGGATTCATTGTTCAATGTTTCCACTGACACTGAAATTGCAGATGGCGGATTGTCAATGCAGACTGCAGATGAGTTTGTTTGACTTTTGAATGCAGTATCCATGTTGCTGTCAGGGCTCCGGAATGCTGGCTTGACTGTTTCCTCCGATTGCAGATGAGACTGACCGCCTTCGCCTTGCGTTTTGTATAGTGCCGGATCGTGAAGTATGAATGCATGCAGTGTCCAGCATACATGAAGGATTGAACGACTGCCTCAACATGTTGTTTGTGAGTTGTTTGAGTGAGGGATGTGAGTGAAGCTTTGTTGGTTGAAATTTGATTGGTCAACATTTTGAATGATGAATGCTGACCTTGTTGATTGGCAATGTGAATCATGACTGAAGGTCTGATTCAAGGTACCTCGTTAGATGACACTGTTCCCACATTGGCCAGGACTGTATGCCTCATGCTGAGCACACATGAATGACACCGAATGGTATTTGGCTTCGGACTGGGTTGCTGTCACACTGGACTGCGCAAGGGATTAATCAAGCTTGCTGTGACTGTGGAGAGTGACTGACTGATCAACTGTATTTGGACAGGTTGATCTTGCACATTGGGATTCTTGAATTTCAGCGGTGGTGGTGGTGGTGGTGGTGGTGGTGGTGGTGGTGGTGGTGGTGGTGGAGGTGGTGGTGGTGGTGGTGGTGGTGGTGGTGGTGGTGGTGGTGGAAGTGGTGGTGGAAGTGGTGGTGGAAGTGGTGGTGGAAGTGGTGGTGGAAGTGGTGGTGAAGGTGGTGGAGGTGGTGGTGGTGGTGGTGGTGATGGTGGTGATGGTGGTGATGGTGGTGGTGGTGGTGATGGTGGTGATGGTGGTGATGGTGGTGATGGTGGTGATGGTGGTGATGGTGGTGGTGGTGGTGGTGGTGGTGGTGGTGGTGGTGGTGTTGGTGGTGTTGGTGGTGGCGGTGGTTGTGGTGGTGGTGGTTGTGGTGATGGTGGTGATGGTGGTGATGGTGGTGATGGTGGTGATGGTGGTGATGGTGGTGATGGTGGTGATGGTGGTGGTGGTGGTGGTGGTGGTGTTGATGGTGTTGGTGGTGGCGGTGGTTGTGGTGGTGGTGGTTGTGGTGATGGTGGTGATGGTGGTGATGGTGGTGATGGTGGTGATGGTGGTGGTGGTGGTAGTGGCGGCGGCAGCAGCAGCGGCGGCGGTTGGTGTGCAAACATGCGCAAACGTTTTCATCGGGAGCAAAACAGAGGGCAAGAAAGAGCGTGAGCAGAGGGATATTTCGAAAGGGCAACAGGTCTGAACAAAACTCTTTTTAGCTGTTTGCGTAAGCGTACCCTGTCATTATTTAGGAAGCAATGTCCAAGTTTACTCCCCGTCATAGCCAGTCTCACGAGCTGTTTGCATAATGCAAGTAGCAGCATAACCATGCCTTACGTCTATACTATACAGCACAATCATACGCCACAGTCCACATGCTAAAGCGCTACACATGTGGGGGAGTGAGGCCATAGCCCAACTGACTTTGTACATTCTTCCAAGACCCGAGAACTTGGGAACTTGGCGAAGTAGGCCGCGTACATCCTGAGTGCACATGTGCGACACATGCAGATCCGTTATGTCCCATGCTTCGCGCAGCTGCATCAGCAAACGAAATCTCAAAGGCTAGATGCTGCGCGACGCAAAGCTTGCGGATTTTCGTTCGCCATCATCTTGCCTGCATCTGGATGCTGATCGAGTTGCGCAACATATAGCATCAGATTTCGTGAGCGTGGCATCTTTTGGCGCCAGTGCCCAGAAGCTGCTGGCCAGGCGATGTCCATTCTCTATGCGCTGGTTGTCAGCTTCTCTCGTGCGAGCCATACAGAACGACTCCAGCAAGTTCCGCTAATGGGACCGTACCCTCGTGTGAACTTTAGTCCTTGGCTCACGACTTACACAGTGCACATGTCAAACACCCGCCTTGCGCAACTGATGCATGTAAGAGGCCTGGAAGGTCTCCGCCAGCTTCTGCCAGGGACCACAGCTGCTCCAATAGCACATAGCACCGTTTGTCGTTGGCCCCAATCAAAGCAAGCAAGTCCTGTGGTTGAGGCAAACATTTGAATATTATTACCCGCGGACTCGTTGTGCCGGCGTAGCCCTCGGTTCATGCATGGGCTTACACAGCTCATAAAACTCAAAATGCCTGATCATTCTCATCGCAAGCAGCAACTTCATTCTTGACGCAGGCATGGCAGCAAGAAGCCGGAAGCTATCAGGCTGTGTAATACTGTAACTCCTCCGCTGATTGATGTCAATGGGA